CTGCATCCTGGGCCCTTTTTCCAACTTTTATTCTGAGACAGGATCTCACTAAATTGCCCAGGCTGGGCTCCAACTTGCCATCCTCCTGCCTCAGCCTCCCAGTATGCTAGAATAACAGGCATGCAGCACAGCACATCACCCATTATAAGGAGAGTCTCCACAAGTGCGAGGATTTGCGGGACACGGTACCCAGCCTGGGTCTTACGGGTGGCGGCTCACGGTTCCCAGGCAGCAGGAGGCACAGGGACACCTCAGCGTCTCAGCGGCTCAAGGCTTTGTGCTATCTTCGAAGGGCGCTGCCTGCAGGGGCCGCTGCTGTGCTGGAAGCCAGGAAGCCCTGAGTCCAAGGACAGGGCTGCAGTTCCCCTTCCTGCGCCTGGGTGCCAGGGCCTGGGGCTTCCTGACCTCATCTGACCTGGGGTGAGGGGCTGCTGGAGGCGAGAGAGAATCCACCCGAGGTCCCCACCCAGGCCCATGCAAAGCGCCCCACTCCTGTGCAAGTCTGAGGGGGACCCAGGACAGAGTGGGACCTAGAGCGAGTGACGGAGACTCCCACGTGTCCCAGGGTGGCCAGGCGGCTCTTTGCCACAGGTGTCAGAAGCCCTCGAGGAGCAGGGGAGAGGATGAGAGCCATCCTGAGCCCTTTCTTGTTCTAGGACACAGTACCCGACACACACCCGTTGCCGGAGGAGTGGTTACTGCGGCTCGTGGTCCCAGGCTGGCTCCGAGGCAGGAGGAGGCAGGGGCGGGAAGTAGCGGCTCCCTTGGGCAGCAGGGACGGGCCCCGGGCGCGGAGCTTGGGGGAGGCTCAGTGGCCTCCTGAGTCCACGTCAAGGCTCGGCGGCACTTTGGAAACAGGGACGAACGATGTCTGGGCAGCACGGTCCCTGTGCACTTAAGTCCCCAGATCTAAGTTGGTGCTACAGTGGTCCTCCGAGAGACCAGCTGCACCCACCCTCGCCATAAAAGTCTGCAGGGGCTGCTAGCAGCTGGGACGGGTGTAACTACGGAGCGAGAGAGAACTTCCATTACTCTGTCTTGCAGGAATCAGTGTCTAGTTGATAGAGGGGGAAGAAGTAGAACTCCCAACCTGCTAGACGTCAGGCACGCTGCGCCCGTGTTGCCCCACACTGAAGCACGAATTCTAGGGAACACTGGAGGTTAAGAGGACGACATATTTATTGAGAGAGATAATCCTGAGACAGGAGGGGACCCAAAAAGTGGGCTGCTTTCCAGAGGACCCCACTTTCCACAGGAAGTTTTATGGGGCAAAATCACAAGGTGAGGGCAAAGCTCTGATCAAGCAGTAAAATGACGGGCTTAGCTACTTGGCTGATATGGATCCAGTGGGAAGCAGGTGATGAGCAAGTGCTCAAGAAAGAACAAGAAGTTTCTCAGGAAGGATGAATCAGGGGCTCCTGGTCACCCATCGAGGTGACTGATGTTTATTGTCTCTCTCTCGGGGAGGCAGTAGGCCTGGTCACTTCGCCTTTATCTTGAGGCCTGGCTTCCAACAGATGCACCTCGGGCCACAGCTGGAACATGTTCTCGCCCTCTGCACTCACTCCCCTGAGGGCCTACCTAGCCCTGTCTTGCTGCCTAAAATATTTCCAGTTTAGCTGTCTATACTAAAATGACAATTTTCCCCAGTCCTGGGGATCAAACCCAGGACCTTCAGATCAAGCTATATCCCCAGCACTTTTATGCATTTTTTTATTTTGAGACAGAGTCTCACTATGTAACCCAGGCTGGCTTCCAACTCACAGGTGATCCTCCTGCCTCAGCCTCCCGAGTGCTGAGATTGTAGATGTGAGCCACCACACCCATCTGATAACAATAATTTAAATGATAGTCCCTCATACTCAAAAGCTTAAATAGCCGGTGTAGTGGCACACGCCTGTAATCCCAACATGCCCAGCACTCAGGAGGCTGAGGCAGGAGGATCGCTGCAAGTTTGAGACCAGGCTGGGCTACAAAGTGAGCTCAAAAACGTCCAGCCTGAACTGCATAGAGAAACCCTGTCTCAAAAACACCAAAAAAAAGTTGAAATAATCGAGTCAAAAAAGGAAACATAAAACAGAATTTATTATAAACCCAACCCAACTTCACTTCAGTAGCTTCAAAACCTCAGCATTTTCTACCTCATAACATTTACGTTAATTGGGACTCTATTAGCACTATGGTCTTATCTGCACTTAATTTTTAATGCATTTTGGTTTCATAATTGGACAAGACCTAGTGCTTTATGTTTGTGCATACCTGAAAAGAACTCTTATTAAAGTAGTTCAACAGATGGCAACTCTGCAAATTTGAAAACGGTGTGCATGGCGATGTCCCCTTCACACACTCGCTCATCCTAAGAAGTCCACCTACCCAGGCTCCGTTCACACAGGAAGAACTTTTGTGTGCACAGAATTCTCTCCGCACCCACCTTTCCTGCAGAATTACTCTTCCCATCAGCTGGAGGCAGCACCCCCCCCTCAAAGCCCACAAGCGCTGTGTCTTTTTCTGGCGCCCCAAAATGCAAATCACAAAGAACAAAGTAGAACTAATGGGCCACCCTGGGAGAGAAATCTCCAAGTTCCCAAGTGAATGTGTCCTCCTCAGCCGGCTCTGGCGTCTCCGGGAAGGGAGGGCTATAGAGCGAGCAGGGGCGGCCGAGGCTGCCTCTCCATTTGCATTTCTTTGTTGCAAGATGAATAGGGCTCCTCCGGCCTCCAGCTCAGCTTCCAGCCCCGAAGGGAGCAGAGGCAGCAGCGGTTACTTTCCGAAGTGAAATTGAAGCCACCATCCCAGCACAAGAGGCGGTGAGTCACCAGAAGAGGTCACCGCAGAGCAGAGCTCTTTCAAAGGCGAGCAGGCTCAATGCGTTTCCTGCTGCGGTGAAAGGACCCTCGCTAGCACACAGGCCCTGCGAGGCTGCAGAGCCTCAGGAATCCGGCACAGCATCCCCACTCCCACCCGGGCGCCCCAACTCTGCCCGGGACCAATTCCCCACCTGCCTGGCCCCGCTCCCCAAGAACCCCCAGGCAAAGCCCACGCCCCTGGTGCTGTGTACCACAGAGCCATGATAACACCTTGTAAGTCACGCCAGCACCTGCCCCAGGCTGCCAGAGCCTCTCCTCTAGCTCGGGCGGGAGTCTCTCAGGGGCTTCTGCAGGGCTCATTTAAAGCACGTGTCTCAAAGAAGCACAGGTCAGAGTCTCCTGAAAGTTTTATTTAAAAAGATCAGGAGCCAGGGTGAGGTGCTGCACACCTGTCAACCCCGCACTCTGGGAGGCTGAGGCAGGAGGATGACAAGTTGGAGCCCAGCCTGGGAAATTTAGTGCCTCTGCGAGACCCTGTCTCAAAAAACAGAATTTGTGTTTCTAAGGAACTCCCCAGCTTTGGATTTCAGAGCTCAGGCCACGAGGTTGGAGGTCTCTGCAAGGCTGGAGGCCTGCGCTCAGGGGACCCACCCCACCCCACACCCCGCAGCCTGCGCCCAAACCCAGCACTGCAGGGAGACCTCGCGTAAATCCTGAGCTGCCCAAGTGGGCGGCGGTGCCCAGGTGGCTGCTCGGGCCACGGGCTTCCCGTGCAGCTCCCTCCGCACACAGCCAACGCCAGGATGGTAGCAGTGGACAGGCATCGCCGTGGCAACAGAAACCAACCACAGCTGTGCAGAGGGCACAGATGCCCAGTCTGGTCTTTTCCAGTGAGGCCTCTCAGCCTCCCCAGGCACTCCCACTGTGCCAGGCTTGTGCCAGGGCTGTACACAGCCCCTTCTCACAAAGGCTTGGCCTCCAGCGCCACAGGCAGTGTCTGCCACCAATATTCAAGCACATGGGGCCGTGCAGAGCCCAGCATGGCACTCATGGAGAGTGACAAAGGGCAGAGGTTACATGGTACTGGGGGTGGTGGCGCACATCTGTGATCCCAGCACTTGGGAGGCTGAGGCACGAGGATCGCCATGAGTTCAAGGCCAGCCGGTGCTACATAGTGAGACCTCGTCTCACAAAAATGGGGGAGGCTGAGACTACGTGGATATCAACAGACTGCAAACTAGTTTTGCGGGGGTTGGCAGTATTGGGGGTTAAATCAGGGTCTTTGCACTAAACTACATCCCCAGCCCTTTTTGTTATGCAACAAGCCCTTACTAAGTCACTAAATGGCCTGGGCTGGGCTTAAACTTGCAGTCCTCCTGCCTCAGCCTCCCAGAGTATGAGATTACAGGTGTGTGCCACCATAGCCAGCTACTAATTTTGATTACAGCTAAGAATGAATCTGGTATACACCTCAGAGAAGCCAAAAGCCTCACGGCAGGGCAGCAGATGGAGCAGGTGAGGGAGCCTGAGGTGGTAAACGGAATGGGGCCAGGCCCGGAGGCACTGTGATTAGCACTTACAACACCTAGTCCTAAGTCTCCCCACCAGGCTAGCACAGGCCCCACCCCTCCCACATGCTAAGAGGTCAGCATTTTATACTGATCTCAGCCTAAAGCATCAGAGATACTTTTTCTAAGCAGTAAACAGTTCCGTTCTTGTTTTGTTTTGTTCTGAGACAGGGTCTCCCTATGCAGCCCAGGCTGGTGACCCTTCTGCTTCAGCCCACAAGTACTGGGATGACAGGTGTGCACTACCATGCCCAGCCCCCATGACTGAGTCAACAATAAAATATTATGCTCATTAACCCACCAGAAAAACAACAACTTCACCAGAAATTAAAATTCACAGGTCTGATTTTCAAGGAAGTCTTTCACCCCTCTCATTTATTACACTATTTTCTAGCTTTGTATCCAGCACAACCCAATGAAGGAGTACAGGATTTTCACCACGGTGCCAGCATACACAAACGTAGGTGTCAGTAAATACATTTAAAGTGGCGATCCGAACCTCAAACTCAGAGGGGAACTCTCCTTGGAGATGGAATCCTTTTGCTCGTTTCCCGGTGCATTTTCTTCATCGTGGGGGCCCAGCATCTGAAGACCTCTGGGGTGATGGTTTTGTGGGGGCCACTTTGAAATGTGTGGATACAGTTCATCCAGCCCGTGACCATGGGGAACCCCCGAGGACACAGAGAAAACAACTCCCCTCAGCCCTGGGGCGGCCACACGCAAACCTCATCTGGCGTCTCAGCCCGGTCAGTGCACAATGAGCTCGACAGCGTACCGGTCCGGTGTGGGTGAGGTGGGAGTGGGCGTGACAGGGATGGACACAGGGCTCGGGCACAGAGTGGGCCACGGAGGCTGGAAGGGGGCGAACCGTGCTACAGATTTGCCCGACAGGTAAATGGTGACTCTCAGCCGTGTGATTTGATCCCCAACCGCAGGGCACAAGCGTGTCAGCCACCGCCTGTGCGGGTGAGCGGCCAGCCCAGAGGAACTGGACGAGGCTGGACTCTTCTGAATTGCTGCTGACATCTCCCAAGCGCAATGAGCATGCACACACCCGCGACTCGGCACCAATCCGCTACTCGTGACAGTTGATTTTCGCCTCCTGTGTGTGTCCACAAAGCCATCTGTCCCCCACACGGCCACCAACGCCCACCAGACTGTGCCGCCAGGACTCTGGGTTTTCTTTCACAGAAAGAGTAACGTTTCTCTCAACTGTTTTGTTTGTTCTTTTGCCTCCTGAGAACCTAACAATGTGATTTAAATAGGAAACAGTTTATCAATGGAGTAAAACACACTCTTTAAAAAAATAATACTTCAAAAACAAAAGTGAAATCTTTTAGCAAAATAATTCAGCTTTTCACATTGTACTCTCCGTGAGCCAGCTTAAGAAACAAATAAAGAAACCTTCTGCTACTGGCTTAAAGAATGCCACTCCCCATACTACCTTCTCCCCCGCCCTTGACTTGAGTGCGAAAGGAAAGCTAAGAAAAACAACTTCTCTGTACTTCCAGAAGGGGTGCGTGTGTGAGACACGCAGGTGGAGCGCCTTACTGGTCTAACACACGCATCTTTTAATGTATTTGTGACATTTGTCCCCAAAAGCCTGTGGCTGGAAGGCTTTCAACAGGAACCCAATCAGAGTAAAGCAACAAATAATATCCGCGGAGAATACAGCTCAACTTCTCCAAACGACTGTCTGGAAACCACCCCGTCTCTGTCTCTCTCAAGACTTCCCAAAAAAACTGAGGTCGTCAGGGTTTGGCCACCAGTACTGCTCAAGCTCCTGCTACCTGCAGCGCCTTCAGATCAGCGCTGAGCTGACTTCCAAACGCCCCTTGCTCCTGCTCACTGTGGTTTGGTTTAAGGCGTTGCGAAGTCACTGCGAGCTGGACTGGGCTAGTCCTACCTCCCATGCCCCCAGGTGTATTAAGGCAAAATATTCTGGCCTTGCGTGCAGCAGAGGGCAGGGATAAGCGAATGGCAAGGCTGTCTTTACCCAAGGAAGGGAAGATCGCCTCATCTAAGAGACTAGCAAGCAACTGCGGAGAAGCTTGAAAGCCGGGGCCACAGCTCCGGCCCACGGTGGCCCACGGCAACCCACATGCCACAGAGACCTCACCTACCCGCCATGCCTGCTGTGCCCAGGTGGCAGAGCCTCGCCAGCACAGAAGTGCTGGCCTACACACTCTGGGCATGCCGGGATTCCACAGGGGCACTGTCTCCCCTGGGGACAGCCCCAGGACACCCCTATTGCACATCAAGAACCAATCCCTGGGGCACAGCCTTGCACGAGACCGGCAAATACACTGTCACGTCTATCACTTTGCATTTAAGAGCATCTCCTGGCGCAGGGCGCAGGGCGCAGGTTGCAGGGTGCAGGGCGAGGCGGGGCACAAGTGCTTCCCGGTCTCTAAACCCAGGCTGGCACAGCAGGCTCCCGACACTGGGTCTGTCCCGGGGACACCAGGCTCCCAGGCTGTTGCAAGGGGCTGCCTGGTGCCCGTCACGCTGAGGCGGAGTGGACGCCCTGGTTTTCAAAGGGCGGCGGTGGCTCTCTCCAGAAGGTGAAGTGACTGAAGGTGTCCGAGCAGGGGAAGTCGGAAGAGTGGCTCCGTTTCAGCAGCGGGAAGACGTGGTCCACCACCTCGCAGAGCCGCACGTACCTGCGGGGAAAGGTACAGCGGCCCCGTCACAGACCCGTGCCCGCCCACAGGCCCTGGGCCACCCAGGCCCGCTGAGGAGAGGAAAACAAAATACCAAGAGCTGGGTGCAGCAGCATAGCACAAACAACACAAAGCCACACGGACAGTAACACAAGGCAGCGGACAGTGTGAGCAGTGTTTCTTCCATGACAAATCTTCAGGCTGTCACAGAGAGGCAAGCTCTGGCTGGCACATGAGTCACAAAGCCTCGGCCCAGCCAGCTGTGGTGGCCCACGCCTGTCATTCCAGCACTCAGGGAGGCTGAGGCAGGCAGATCCCAGTTCAAACCCTGCCTGAGCAACTTATTTCAGTGAGACCTTGTCTACAAATTTTAGAAAAGGGGCAACCCATCTGGGACCCCTCCTATCTCTCAGGAGCTATCCTATTCCCCATTTCTTTTCTCCAATAAATCTTCCTACTCTTAAAAAAAAAAAAAAAATTCAGAAAGGGCTTGGGATGTAGCTCAGTGTGAAGGCCCCTGGGCTCGAGATCCCTAGGACTGCGATTAAATAAAAAGAAAAGAAAAAAAAGACAAAAAAAGGAGAAAAGCAGCCAGGGCCCACTCCTGCTGCCCTTGCTGTGTGACCCTGGGCAAGGCTCTTGCCCCCTCAGACCTCAGGCTACTCATCCTAGCACTGGGCAAGCAGCACTCAGGGCTCCTCCAACGCACTGTCTACTCTGACTCCCCAGGAAGACCTAGCACACCAGTACTGCGGCCTGTGCTGCACACAGCAAGCCGTTCTGCGCGGGCCTCTCAGACCTCCGGGGCTGTTCCTACCACCCCCAGGCCCCTGCGTTTCCGGTTCACTGAAGACCCACAGGGGCTTTCGAAGCCTGGACTCCAGAATTAGCAAGATCCGAGGCAGAAAACTGTCTACCAAGTAAGGCTGAGCGGCTTGGAGGGCCTGCAGGGAAAGTCTGCCCGCAGCATGACGGCCCATCTGGGTGCAAACCTAGACCCGTGCCCTTCCTGGGATTAAAGCAAACGGCGCATTCCTGCAGCCGAGCCAGGCTCGGAGGCCTCTGGCCTGCAGGGCAGGGCACGGCCCAGTTCCTGCACAGCTGCAGCTGCATCTGGCACCAGAACCAAGCCTGCCTTGCTTACAGCTCGGATTGGCCCCTGTAGTACACAGAGTCTGCATTTCATCCCAGTACGTTGGAAGGCTGAGGCAGAAATATCCCAAGTTCAAGTCCAATCTGAGCAATTTAGCAAGAACATGTCTTAAAACAAAAAAATGAATGAACACGAATACAGCTCAGGGAGAAGGCCCGGGGTTCAATGGCCAGTACCACAAAACAAAACAAGACCAAACCCAGGATTAGTTTGGTCCAGTGACTCAGACAAACTAAACTCTGACCAAACTACAAGGGAGATTCTTAACAATTACACAGGAGGGGCAAGTGTTCAGTATGTGAAGCAACACAGCGCTCCTCACACTCCCATCTGCCTCCACGTCTAACTTACATTCTAGGCCTCCAGGCCTAACTCAGCAAATCAAACCTAAACATTTTCAGATTCACTCAATTCCTTCTATTGCAAAGTTGAATCTATTTTACATTTTTTTTTTCCTGTTGTGTTTCTTTGAGACAAGGTCTCACTATGTAGTTGACACTGGCCTTGAACTCACTATGTAGCCCAGGCTGGCCTCAAACTCACAGTGACCCTCCTGCCTCCCAAGTGCTGGGTTGACAGGTGTGCAACACGACACCTAGCTGCATTTTTATTTTTGAGAGTTTTCGGACTGGGGTTGAACTTGTGATCCTCCTGCCTCAGCCTCCCAGAGAGGTGAAATTACAGGTGTACACCACTGTGCCTTGGCAGAATGTTATTTTCAAAGGGATTAAGGATGGAACGAGGCAGCGATGGCTGAGAAGCCTACCACTGTCCCTGCCAAGCCCCCTGGGGACAGCAGCCCCAAGCCACTCACGATGAGATGTTGGTCTTGGCATGCTCCTGCACCAGCTCTCCCTTGGGGTTGACGGTGAAGATCCTGTTCAGAGAGACGCCCACTTGCTTGTAGGAGTACACGTCCTGGGGTTGGCAGAGGTGGCAGAATCGACAATGAGAAGAATGCGTTTGCAGACAAAGCACACCCCGCAGTCCATGGCTCGGTGGGGAGAATCAGGTTCTCCCCACGCAGTGGACCCACAGGCCCCGCCTCAGCCAGCTGCCACCTGTGGGGACCGAGCTGAGGAAGAAGCTGCCCCTGCCCCACGCCCCCGCGCTCTCCATGGCCTCCTCTGCCGGGTCCACGTCACGCGAACGGCGGTCACAGTCTCTCCAGGTGGCGCAGTCAGGGTGAGCAGCCACTGCCCAACCCGTCCTCCACAGCAGTGGACCTGCTTGCTGATCGCTCTGAGCCACACCCACTGCATGCGCCTCACTCCCTCCACGCAAGACGACACAGGCGTGCAGCACAGGAAACTGAGCTGTGCGGCTCCCTGCCTGCCCAGGCTGGGCTATGCCGACCCGCCCACCGGGAAGCATCAGACGCAGCACCGCTCACAGTTTGCAAGCTGAGCAAGCAACATGGAACCCAAGCATTCAAGTCGCTCACTCTGGTCAGACCGACAGCCACCCACCCTTCAAAGACCAGAGGCCACACCAGGGTAACTTAATCCCTTTGTTCTAAAATGTGGCCTTTGTTCTTTTCTGTAACACTGCTGGGGATTGAACTCATCAGGGCCTTCACACTGAGCTACATCCCCTGCCCTTTCTAATTTTTTATTTCAAGACAGAGTCTCACAAAGTTACCCAGACTGGGCTTGAACTTGCAACCCGCCTGCCTCAGCCTCCCAGGGTGCTGGGATGGCAGGTGTGCGCCATCACACAAACCCAGTGACCAGGCTGGCCTTGCGAGACAAGAATCGGCAGCCCGGGCAGGGCCTGCAGGCCCTGGCTGTCAGAAAGAGCGGTTTGCTGAGCCCCTTAAGTACTCACAGCTGGGCGGTTCCCAAAAGCGGCGTAAAAGGGTTCCGTGTTTGGGAAAAACAGGTTCTTGATGTCCGTCAAACACTGCACTTTAAACTTTTCTGGCTTCTTCTCAATCACTTCTCTGTTAAAACCAACAAATAAACAGCACATCAGGATGAGACGACACCTTCATCTGCATTAAACCACTTCTAACATCAAAGCTGGAGTCAGTCCACCTGGCCCTGGCGATGAGCAGACATCGGGCCAATCTGCACATCCAGAGGCCTCACATGGAAGACACAGAATTCTACACACCAGGGAACACAAAGTCCCGGGGCCGTGGGCCAGTGCTCATCTGTCACCCAGGACGTGGGAGGCTGAGGCAGAAGGATCTCCAGTGGAGCCCAGCCTGGGCAGCTAATGACTGAGTGAGAGCCATCTCAAGGTAAAAGGTAAAGCAGCTGGGGATGCAGCTCAACGTGGAGACCCTGGGCTCCACCCCAGTGCCGAGACCCCGCAAGCCCCGCAGACAGAGGCCGGAAGGGCTCGGGCGGGCGTACCTGTGCAGAGCGGAGAAGAGGCTGCTGGGGCTGAGCAGGAGCGGCCCCTGCGGCAGCACAGTGCCGCGCTCGTTGACCCAGTGCAGGTAGCCCCGCGTCATGTCGGCCATGCCGATGGCCCGCGCCGAGCAGTACAGGAACTTGTACCCATTCCTGCAGGAGACCAGGCCACTCTTAACAGCGTCCAAGGCACAATTTCCGTATTTCTTTTCTTCTTTTGGATTTTTGAGACAGGGTCTCACTATGGGGACCCGGCTGACCTGGAACTCACAGCAATCCGCCCGCCTCAGCCTCCCGAGTACTGGGGTGACAGGCACGCGCCATCACACCCAGCAAAAAGACGATTTTGGGGTGGAGGCGATGCTGGGGGCTGGTGCCAGGCCCTCTTCACTGAGCCACACCCCAGCCCTTTATTTATTTACTTATTTGGAGGCAGGGTCTGTCCACGTCGCTAGGGATTAGCTAAGGCGGCGTCACAGTGCGGGCGGCAGGCGGGCCCAGTGCGAGCGCAAGGCAGCCCCTCCCGCACTCACTGGCTCACTTTGTGGTAGAGTTTAGCGATGCCCTGGTGAGTCCAGTCCTTCCCAAGCGTGGGCAGGATGTGGCCGAGGGTGTCCGATCTGAACAAAGACGGGAAAAGTAAATGTTACCTAACCCTGCACGGCATAAAACCAAAGCCCGTTCAGAGTCAACTCGCCATTCGTACCACGTAAGAAACACAAGGAGCCGGGGTGGTGGTGCCCGCCCGTCATCCCGGCACTCTTGGAGGCTGAGGCAGAGGGATCCCAAGTTTGAGCGCAGCCTGGGAGACTAAGAGAGACTCCGTGTACCTCGTGATGGTCCCGTCAATATCGGAAATGATGACCTTGTCGTCCCAGTCCCACAGGTAGATGGTGCCCTCGCAGCGGCAGGTGCCCTGGTACTGTGTGGTCACGCTGAAGACCACGTCGTTGGGGCCGTTCTTCAACTTTAAACTTTTCTGAAAAACACCAACGATGATGCACCCGCTAGAGAGGAAGCACACAGGGAGGGACGTTTGGCCTCTCCACCGGGGAAAGGAAGTTTAAGCATTAAAAATCACCCTGCCCAGGCCAGGTACGGGGTGCACGTCTGTCATCCCAGCACTGAGGGAGGCTGAGGCGGAAGACCACCAAGTTCAAGCCCATCCTGAGAAACTTGGCAACTCGGCAAGACTCTGTCTCAAAATTTTAAAAAAAGGCTGCAGATGCAGCTCAGTGCAAAGACCCCGGGTTCAAAGCCCAGTATCAAAAAAAAACTCCCTGCGGGTCCTCTGTTTCCCATTTCTTGTTCCAGCAGAAAAAAAAAAATCACAGATTTAGAATAGGACATGACACTCCGTGCCACGCTGTGAAGAGGTTTGGTATGGGACACAGATTTAACCCCAGTGTGAAAATACATTTTCTTAAATAACCATGTATCGGTTGGGTTGGGTCGGGTTAAGTTTTTTGAGGCAGGGTCCCACCACGTAGTCCAGCCTGGCCTTGAACTCACAGCAATCCTCCTGCCTCCGTCTCCCAAGTGCCAGGATTGCAGCTGTACACCACTGCCTCACACCCATAAGGCGTTCAGAAAGCGGGGCCCCCTGGGACGGCAGATGCTCCTCGCTGGGACCCAGGTGTGCACCGCCTGCTGCTCCAACCCCAGGAGGCGCCAGGTGTGGCCGGGGCCCAGCGTCTCAGGGCCTGGAGGGCCGTGCACACGGGACTGATGCTGAGCATCCCGGGCTATGTGTTCTGTCTTCCACTAACTCCACTGTGACCAAGCCTGCACCCCACCTGCTCCTGGGGTAAACGAGAAAGATCTTGGAGCAGGTGGAGGTATGTGCTCACGACTGGGTGGGGTCTGACACCGGATGCAGGTGGAGGAGGGGCCTAATTAGAAGTGCAGACGCACAGGCACACGCATGTCCATGCACACACACATGCGTGACTCCACAGTCAGCAACGCCCCTGCTGAGGGCGCCTCGGTCCCTGCACAGCTGCTCTGTTCACACCAATTTAAGAAATGTGAGCTAACAGATCTCCCCGCTCCTCCTTCCTCTCTCGTGGCAGCGCACACCCCAAATTCCAAGCACTCGGGGGGCTGAGAGCTTGAGACCAGCCTGGGCTACACAGTGCGTTCAAGGCTAGCCGCGACTACATAGTGAGACCCAGTCTCAAGAAACAAACAAAAAAAGAGGGGTGCACGGCCACCAAGGAGCAAGGTGCTCAGGGCCTGAAGGCACTAGGCGGAGAGGGGTTAGCGGAGCAAGCGGACCCCACCGGCCTCCCGCACCCCCAGGGTCGCGCAGCTCGGCTGGGGCTCACCAGCTGCTCCGACGTGAGCCGCAGCGTCTTCTTGTAGCTGACGCTGGTCAGGAGCGGCAGGTGGCCGGCGGGGGTCGGCTTGGCGGCCGCGTGCTCCTCGTCACTGGAAGACGACTCGTGCTTTATCCTGGAACACACGGGATACCGTCATCGCCCACGAGGAAAGGCGAGGGGTCCCCTGCCCTGCGTCCACAACTCAGCCGTGCCGTCCCCGGGCGCTGGCACCCCAGGACACGGAGCTTACATGGGAACCCCAGGCACCCAGGCATACGTCACCCGGAACCCACACAGGGCTGCCGCTTCTCTTTCGTGTGTCTCTTCACCATCATCTCGCTTCATTTTTCGTTTTTTTACGGTCCTGGAGACTGAACCCAGGGCCTTCACCCTGAGCTCCATCCCACCCCACCCCTTTTTTTAGCCAGGGTCTGGCTAAGTCACTAAGTTGCCCAAGATGGGCTTGAGCTTGCAATCCTCCTGCCTCAGCCTCCCAGAGCACTGGGATGACATACATGCACCACCATGCATGGTTGTTTTCCTTAAGACACAGAGGAGGAGCAACCCACTTTCCAGGCCCCATTCTGTCCCTCTCGGAAGAGGTTTACTTTCTCTCAATAAATTCTTCCTACTCCTAAAAAAAAGCACAGAGGAACACACTGCCCACCAAAACTTTCAGGATGCAGGCAGGGGCAGCTCAGAAAGCAAGGCGACTGGGAGACCGAGGTCCAGGAGAGGCCTCCTAACCAGAGGACTCTTCACTGGCCTCGCGTCCCACTGGGAAAATGACATGTTTGACCCAAGTCCCTTGGTTCCAAGCCCCGGGGATCCTACCCACAATGCTGGTTCTTCAGAACCAGTAGCACAGAGGTTTCCAACCAGGACGGCTGGATCTCGGGGCAGAACTGCGCTCAGGCAGGAGGAGGAGGCTGCTGGCTCCACATGGGCTCAGAAAATGTCTCTGTCCCAGAGGACAGGTCGGAGAGGAAGGGGAGCCGCGTGCGAACCAGGGTTCTTAGGACCAGATCAACGCGCCTTTGTGCTGGGGGGAATCAAGTGATTTCCAGCTGCTGCTGTAATGAACTGGACAAAAGCACACAGAATCCACGGAGCAAGGCTTGAGCGAGGGGAAACAGAAAACGCAGATACAAAGCCTAAAAAGTAAAGAAAGCAACATCGTAGTCACTGGCAGCACCTTCACAGCGTCCCTGGCAGTGGCTCACTGGACGTGGCTTCTGCTTGCCAGCCTCTGCAAGCAGCAACAAACCTAAACAAAAGGCTCCCCGCCACCCCAGCACTCGGGAGGCTGAGGCAGGAGGATGGCCACAAGTTCAAGGCCAGCCCAGGCTACACAGTGACGCCGAGGCCAGCCTGGACTACACAGTGAGACCCTGTCTCAAGGCTACCAAACCAAACCAAACCAAACCAAACCAAACCAAACCAAACCAAACCAAACCACACAGAAACCAAAAAGCTCCTGTCCTTTGGAAATCTGTATTTCGACATGTAGCTGTAAACAGCATCGAACTTAGCACTCGCCGTGGTGCGCGTTTTCCAAATGGGGTTGTGATTACTTCTCTGATGACGAGCCCTTGGCTCAATTATAGGGCTCCAGGGACCCGGCCGTCAATCACGTCTGTCAATTAGGAAAACACTGCAACACCTCCTCTGTTTTCTGCCCTTTTTTTTAGGCTACCTGCATGCCGCTAATGAAGGGAGTAAAGGCCAGAGATGCCCGCACAGATTAAAAGATTTTTAATTTCTCGGGGACGCCTGGAAGAACATTTTTCCAAGCCTCAGCTCTGTGGCGCCAGCGTGAATTCTGCCTCTGCCACATCTGCAACGTGACAGACCTGGGAGTGACGAACGGCTCAACCACTTCTAAAGGACGGGAAACATCGCTCTGTCAACAGCGAATGTGACCGCGTCAGAACTACTTGGGCTGGTGATCACTGGTGACCGGCGGGTGTCCAGGGTCCCAGGTCCGGGTACCCTTAGCCTGCCCCACGCCCCTGGGGTCATCTGTGCCACAGCCAGAAAGGGCGCAGACAGCAGAGGCAAAGCTCAAGATGACGGCCTCATCCCTCTGTTTGGCTGACCCTCAACACGTGGCCATCACAACCCGCCTGGAACCTGTTCAGGGCCAGCAACACGGGGCGCGTGGTGTCCTAAAACCACCGGCCGAGACTGTGCTGTTTAGGAGGAGCCAGGTCCTGCGGGGAACCACAGAGAAACCCTCCCGCCACCCACACAGGGGATTCTAGGAATCAAACAGAGGTAGGGACAGAAATCACAGCACCAAGAACCAAGCCGGCAAACCAACCGAGGGATGGGAAAATCTCACCAGTGCAGAGGTGAGCTCACCGGCCTCACCTCCACTCCAGTGAGCCAAGCTGGTCAAGCTATGGGTCATGCCTTCAATTCATCTGTCAGGATTCTTTTTTATTAATGTTTTACAGTACCAGGGACTGAACCCAGGGCCTTCACACTGAGCTACACCCCCAGTCCTTGCTATTTTTTATTTTGAGACAGGGTCTCACTAAGGCACTAAGGAACCCAAGCTGGGCTCAGACTTGCCATCCTCCTGCCTCAGCCTCCTGGGTGCTGGGATGACAGGCGTGCCCCGTGCAATCCTGGTCTCTTTAGGTGAGGGTGCCGTAATGGGGAGGGATGCTTACAAAACGTCACTGTGCAGACATTCACAGTCACACAGTCTATCCCTGGGCAGCTTATGAGGCACTCTCAAATCCCAGATCATCAATAGTGATCACTATCATCAGAACCCACCTCCTATGCCAGGTTAATATCCATGCCATTACAGGAGTAAAGTCCTAGTGAGTACTGAAATTCCACAGAACGGTGATTTCTTTGGCAGGGAACTGACTTTCACGCCACTGCTAACATCATCATCATCATCATCATCATCACCATCACACCCCCTTGGGGACATTGCCTGCCAGTGCCACCCAAAAGGTTCTAGGTACCAGCATGGTTCTTATCCAGGTGCCCCCAAGGGCATGTGTTCACAGGCGGGGCTTCTGGAAGCTGACTGGATGATAGGGGCTTAGCACTCTCTTGGCATTACGAGGCAGGCCCTGATTGGTAGAGGTGGTCCTAAGGGCGTGGCCTGGAAGGGTTTAGCTCCTCCCCAGCTCCTCCCTTCTCTCTCCATTTCCTGTGCCCCATCTGTGGGCAGCTCTCCTCCGCCAGGCCCCTGTGCCATGTGCCTTGTCTTGGAGCAGCCAGCCATGGGCTGAAACCTCTGCAAACTGTGAGCCCGCGTGAACCCTCCCTCCTCTACTTTGCAGGTGTTGTCAATAGTTCCAGCAATGAGAGGGGAGACTGAGACACAGGGCACCTCATTTCACTCCCATTTCCCCTGCAAGTGCGATGGATGGAAAAACAACATAAAGCAATGGTGCCAGGTCGCTGATCGAATCCCAGAGCCCAGGCCCAGGGCAGGGCCATCCAGCTGACCCAGATGTGACCATGAGTGGGGGAAGGGGTGGCAACACCGCAAAGGACCCCCGTACCTGGTGGCCATGCCCAGCTGTGGCGGCTGCTCCCCGGTACTGTGGCCTTTCCCGGCCAGGCACTGCTCCGGCTTGCTCTCCTGCAGAACGGGGAGAGAGCGCGATGGAAGTATAAAGACAGGGCTGCACAAAAGCTCCTAGGCCGGGCGTGGCCGGGAGCGCCTGCAATCCCAGCGCTTGGGAGGCTGAGGCAGGAGCATCACAGTGAGGCTGAGGTCAGCCTGGGCTACATAGTGAGTTCAAGGCCAGCCTCAACTACACAGCAAGACCCTGTCTTAAAAATCAAACCCCCAAATCCCCTAGCTCCCAGGGCAGGTCCCTAACCCCAGAGCACACACCCCAGGGCTGGCCCAGGCTGCTCTGGTCTGTGTATTTGGCACGTCCTGGTTACAGGATCACACTGGGAAAGACTTCTGACAGAAACGCAACTGCTTCCGTGACTGTGGCACCAAACCAAAGCCCGCCGTCACCAAGGCGCCATAAGTGCCAGAAGGGCTGCTTGCACCCCGGGCCTGCTTCCTGGAACTGCGCCGAGGCGCCCCACGACATTACCGTCCCAGGCTTCTCCTGGGGGAAACGGAGGCATTTTTCTCTCTTGCAATACTCCGCATCTTAATGGAAATGCCCCGGATGTGCCCAGGAGAGGGCCCAGGACTTCTGATTTTTGAGTCAGCGTCTAATGACTTCTACTGTAGCACTTTAATAAAGGAAACAGTAGATCAGACACACGTGTTTAAGTATCACATGGTTTAGCTGGTGCGAGAAACTGAAAGGGTAAATAAGGACCAAAACTTGTAGTAGATACTGGGAAATGGGAAGAACATGTTTGTTCAACTGGGAAGGAGAACATGCGGGGCAGGGAGGAAGACGGGAAAGAATAGAAGGAGAAAATGGAAACAAAGCTTTTGTAAATAAGGGGAGAGGGGTTGAAGGGAGGGGAGGGGAATGGGGAGAAAAGAATCAAGAGGTATCATGTACACAGGCAAATTCCCTATGACAAATGTGATCATTACGTGTATCTAAAATGTACCAATAAAATTATTTTTTGAAAAACAGCCAGACCAGGTGGTGCACAGCTGACATCAGCACTCTGGGAGGCTGAGGCAGGAGGATCACAAATTGATCACAAATTGCCCACAGCCTGGGCAACTCCGCAACACCCTGTCTCAAAATAAAAAATAAAAATGTGCTGGGGACCCAAATCATTGCAAAGGTCCCAGGTTCAGCCCCAGCAGTGCAAAGGAAGAGTTTGATATGCTTGAAACTCCCAGGTGAGACATCACCTTAGCCAGCTGTTTGGTAAACGGACAGTGGGCTATCTGGTTTGGGTATAAAACCAGAGCTGTCCCGTGGGCAGGGACGGGCTACCAGGCAGCAGCAAGGCTCAAGGCAGAATGAAAGGTCCCAGGACGTGGAAGCCACAGCGAGGGATGCAGCCAGCCCCGGAAGGCAAGCAAGGAAAGCAGCCGGGACCTGGGTCCAGGCTGGGCAAGACAGTCAGGCCCTGCAGACCGGGCCTCGTGGGACTCGGCCGCTGCGGTACTCGGCCATACTACTACACGTGTGTGCCGTGGTCCTTGCAGCCAGCAGGAAGAGATCTATTTTTTTAATATTAAATGATCCTTGTTGAAGCTTTTTCCTTCTACAGATGACGAAATTTTCCAGGGACCCCCGTGTCCACATGAACTGGAAGCAGAGCCGGGCAAGAAGCCAGCTCTGCTCCCAGTCCGTCCCGGGGCAGCTCCCGGGTTAGCAGTCAGGGCTCCGGCTTGGGCTCGTTTCTCCGCTCAACAAACTTCACAGCGCCAAGCCCATCCCTGCTGCAGATAAACACGGCTCAGTTTTCCACGCTCACCTCTTTGATCGTGGTGTTCCTTCCCCGCCACGAAAACCACCATCTTCCTCCCTTTTTAGGCATCTTATCCCTCATGATAGATTCCACAGTGGCCTGTTTCAAACGGATGGGAACATAAATAATGGAACCAAAAGAAGATTAACTCAGCACATTCGAACCGAAAAAAACACATAGGCAAACCAAACAAAGATTAAAAAAAAAAGAAGAAGAAAAAGAAATCAGAGAAAACACAACATACTATTTGTGGATTGAAAATTTTAGAGAAACAAAATCTAATGGCATCCAAAATTACAGTAAGGTAACTTAAGCATGAAGACTTGAGAAAATGTGAAAAGAATAAATGAACCACAAACAAAATACAACAGGACAACAACAAGAAAGAAAGTATTAAAACATCATTAGTGAGTAGTAAGACCAGGAGTTTTCACAGTAAAGTGGCTAACTGATTACGATACTATTATCCTCAATATGAAGAGTATAAAATAAAGCATGAAGTCATTAACATGGTACAGGGTAAAACAGTTCTAAACAAAACCTAAGCTCACAAGCTGTTTACTAAATGTAAGTCCCCAAAGTTTGACAAGCTGAACTTTAACAGATGCATTTGATTTGAACTCTCAAGTACTAAAAGGAAAATTCATATTGATAGCTTGAAGTAATTAAGGTTTGATGGCACAGGTTATATACAATTTAATGATTTTCTAAGTATTTACAAAGAACAGTAGCTACCCTTGGCTACAACCAGGACCAAGGTAACATTATTTCATCTCCCTGACTCAGTTTACAGAGCTTCAAATACCTGGTACCTCAGCTGGTAGTGACAAAAAGATTCAGTTCTTTCACCCTAACAGAAAGTAGCAAAGAAGCAGATAAATCACATATTTGGTCTGAAGTATGCTTCTTTCTATCACTTGAAAGATAGGTTATGGGCAACACAGAAAACCTGTGTACACTAAAATGTATTTCGGGCACACACTGCTCTATGCATAAACATACAGATAACCCTGTCCTCCCTAAGTTCACCCACAAACATAGCAAACCCCCAATGTAAAAAAAGAAGAAGTAGCCAGGGGATTGTATGTTCAGACCCAGCCACAGATTCTGAAGTATACTTTCAAGAGCAAACAAAACTAGTCAAGACAACTCTCAGAAGTAATGGATGCAGACACAAGCAAGCCCTACAGGTTATTAAAAGATATTTCAAAGCTACTGTAATTTACAAATGCGCTGTTGGTCTGTGAGTAAATATCACCAGAATATAAAACCTAAAATTTAGACTGACAAATAACAAATCTACAACTTAGATTTAAAAATAAATCATAGAAAACTTCAAGAGATGATAGAAGTGGAACTGACAATCTGTGGAGAAGGTAGTTAACAGATAACCTTGGGGTCATCACAAGTGATGTCAGATCCTCCCAGCTGCCCACAGCCCACATTTCCTCTGAGCAACAGATCCCAAACTGTATTTGAGAACCAAGCCAGCGTGGCGGCACACACCTATAATCCTGGCATTCAGGAGGCTGAGGCAGAAGGATCGTTGTGAGTTCGAGACCAGCCTGGGCTACAAAGTGAGCTCAAGGCTGGCCTGAACTACATAAGGAGACCCTGTCTCAAAAAAAGAGAGAACCAGTCTGCCACATGATCAGGGGCAGCCTCAGCTTCAGCATATGAACCCGAATTCATCTACACCACCCCTGGTCCATCCGCCACTACACCAACAACCAGCTTGCAGGTGATCGAGTTTTAGCCCATGGATCGGGGGCCTCTGCCCCCAACCTTCTCAGTGGGCAGAACAAGGGAACCATGTCCCCAACGGCCACCCTACGACCATCATGGAACAGCCAAGAAAATCAGAAAATGAAGCCCGAAACTACCAATCACGCAGACGCTTCCCCACGTGGGTAATAACCCTTATTACTTAAGCTGCTCTCAGTCACTGTGTCTTCTGCAATGCAAACTACCCTGAGCTAACAACCAGCTGGGAGAAAAATTGGTTTCGTCCTTTAAGTCTCCCTTCCTTAGCCTCAAAATAAAATACATATGGATCGAAGATATAAAATAGAAAAGCCAGGGCCCTTTCTCCCACTGGTTTTGGAAATGGGGAAGCAAGATCATTAAGTGCGATACCAAACCCAGCATCCAAAACAGTAAGACTGACATTAAATTCTACAGTGAAAGAAATTTCTGTATTGGAGAAACACCCTAAATAAACAGATTCAAAGAGCTACAGGCTGAATTTGTTTGGCGTGCATTTTACAAGGATCGATTTCGCCAGCTTGCGAAGCACACGTGACTCTTTCTGTAAACTAAATTCTTTAACTCTACCGCACGTTTCTTTTTCCTTATTCATTTTTAAAATCTGAGAAATGCAACATGAAAATATATCCCTGGCCGTGCGTACTCTGAGGAGCCCGGCAAGCACAAGACCACAACTGCTCCGTACAACGTGCCTCAGGCCTGTCTGCCACTACAAAGCGCCACCAGAGGCAAGGTCACAGCCCCAGCGCCGCAGGGAGGACCAAGCGCAGACCCGGCAAAGTCAGATGAGGAGCTCTAGGACAAGGCCCGACCGACACTCACAGCAGCCTCAGCGGTTCCACGCGCCTGCTATGTGTGCAAAGGACACAGCAGGTCTAAGACGGGTCCACCGCAGGTAAAGACGAAAGACACAAAAGCTGAGCGTCCAGTCTAAGTGAGTGAACTGGGGGAGCCCTGGGCCCTGACCCCAACTCCCCTGCCACACACCTGCGCTCACGGCCACACCGCGTGCCGCTGCCTGCCCTGCGCTGGTGCCCGCTTCCTGGATGAGCAGTCCCTGGTGCTGGCCAGCTGCCCACGGTGTCTGGATCTCTGTCGCCTCACACTCCAGCAGTCTACTCCAACCCTTTGGCAGCCACGTTCTTCTCCCGGGGCTCCTTCAGCTCTAAGATCCCCCTACCCACAACCCTGGCATGGCAGGTGCTGGGACCCACAGTCTCAGTGCCAGGAAGGAGAGGCTGACTTAGAAGGCACAGACAGGATGTTTGAGATGCAAGGGAAAAGCCAAGCACGGTGATGCACACTTGTAATCCCAGCACTCTGCGAGGCTGAGGCAGGAGGATCACAAGTTGGAGCCCAGCTTGGGCAACTTAGTGACTCAGCAAGACACAGACTCAAAATAAAGTAAAAAGGGCTGGGGACAGAGTCAGTGTAAAGGCCCTGGGTTCAATCCCCAGAAGCACAAAAGGAAAAACCAAAGAGAGATTGGAAATTCCTGACGTATACTCATGAACACCAGGAGCGCACAATGAAATTAACTCTGTGGTTCCTAAAAGTTAAATCCAAGCACCCAGCAGTCACCTTCAGGGCCGAGTCAAAGCTCACCTTGGGCAGAGGTTTCTGGAAGGCCTGCATGGCTAGGAGCAGAGGGGCCGCAGTCGTCCAGTTGTAATACCTGACAAAACAGATGGCGGTCACTTAGGGAAAAGGCTCAAGGGCATGTGAAGCTGTGAGTCTCCATAAGCTCCTTACAGAGCTGCTGCTGCTCCCTGCCACTCCCTGCAGCTTCCCCTGGGCAGGGGCTCCCAGCCTCTACCTAACCCGGCAGCAGCAGAGGCAGAGGAGGGCCAGGACAGGGTCTTTAGGTGCGCGGTCCTGCTGCCTCGATGCCCTGCATGGATTCTCATGGTCACTGTGACTTTGGGGAAGAGCCAGAAACCACGCAGTGTCAGATCCAGGGACTAAAGTGGATGAGGACACAGTGTCATGGTTGTACACGCTGCCTTTCTGCGGCAGGATGTTGGCAGTAGCAGTCACTGCATTTTTGATCACACCTCAGAAAGACCCTCAGGAAAGAGGACTCCAGAACTGCTGCAGAAAGCAGCAAGGACAAGGGGATGAGTGTGTTCAAAGCCAGGGGGGGATTGTGAGGGATTCATGACAATGCACTTTTTTGCTGTAACGCATTTTTTAAAATTCAAACCTTTGCTGTATTTTTTTTTCATACCTCAATGAATTTTGCCAATTTCAGTGAAAAGACAGTAAGGAAGTTTAACAAAGACTTTGTCCTCTACATTTCTAAGGTTCAAAGTCCAGGTCTCTCGCCTTGAAACAATAAAACCAAAACAGCCTCGCGGCAGTGCTTACTTATTCCCGATCTTCACCACAAGGTTAGGGTCATCGATGATACCAGGGTTGTCCACAAACTGTTGGTACGACACGGCTTGCTCTAGAAATGCATCTGTGAGGCAGTGGGGTGGATAGAGGCGGATGGAGAGGAAGTTTGGTTTAAAAAGCAGGCTATTTGTCACTTTCTCATTCACAAGTATTTTCTGAGAGCTTATTCCGTTATGCAAATGACCCTATAAGAAACATCTGTGAAGGGGAGTTTGCTCTGTTCTGGGGTCAGTGTCATGGGGGAGGTCACACATGACACCCCAGCACTTTGGTAGGCCGAGGCAGAAGGATTGCTAGAAGTTCGAGGACAGGCTGAACTACAGTGAGACCCTGTCTCAAAATACAAAACACTAAGCAAAGAACTCTGAGGTCGGCTAACTGCCAGCTGCGAACACGCGGGCGGGAGCTCCCCACATCCAGAGAAAGCTGTGTAATCGCAGCGTCTGCTCGCCGGCTTCCCACCAGCGGCCACTGGGGGGCGGTGTGGTGTCGCGCGCAGCCCCTACCGGTGGTAACCTCGCGGTGGTCACTGAGGCCGCCGCACAGGGAGATGGCAATGGACGGCAGGTCCCGCAGGCCGTCCGACGTGCTCTCCACGCCGCTGTCCGCGCCCGAGCTGCCCACCGACTGCGGGGACTGGTTGGCCGAGCGGGGCCCGAGGTCGCTGGTGTGCTTGGGGAGCCCGCAAGGGTCTCCGCTGCGGGAGGAGACGCTGTGAGGGCTCTGCTCTTCCTCCCGGCCCCGGGAGCCTAGAAACGGGCTGTGATGGCGCCTGCCTGTCATCCCAGTGAACTAGCAGGCTGAGGCAGGAGGATTCCAAGTCTGAACCCGCCTGGGCAACTTACCAAGACCCTGTCTCAAAAAATAAACAATAGACAGGGGCTAGGCTCAAACTTGGGGTCCTCCTGCCTGCCTCCCAGCATGCTGGCATGGCAGTGTGCACTACCACACCCGGCCCCACTTTCTAATAAAACACCAGGGAAAACCAGACTCACGCAGGCTAATGCTTGGCTTATAGAAAATGCTGGGAGGAAGAAGGAAATTTTACTTTTTGGGGAAGTACAGGGCTGCCACTTCAGGGTCCATGTCTGTGAGTTCGTCCAGGTAGACGCCATCGGCGCCGAGATGTCTGCTCCGCTTATCTGAAAGTGCAAAGGGATCCAGTCAGCAGCACTCTCCCAGCAGGAAGTGGTGGTGCATGCCTGTAATCACAGTGCTCAGGAGGCTGAGGCAGGAGGACCACCAACTTCTAAGTTCGAGTCCAGCCTGGTAATTTAGCAACTTAGTGAGACCCTGTTTCAAGATAAAAATGGGCTGGGGACGTAGCTCAGTGGGAAGGCTCTAAGTTCAATCCTCAGTACTGGAAAAATAAAAACTGCACAAAAAGCAGGTTCACCAAGATCAAGCTTGACCTCATCCCTACAGACAGGAAACCAGGGATGCGTTGGGATTCAGGATTTGCAGATGAGGGAGCCCTGGCCGGTAACATCTGTGCAAGAGTTCCAGAACCCCAGGAGCCCTGGAGTCTGAAACACTTCTAGTCCCCGGCACATGGCATAAAGGACCCTCAACCCGGGCACTCAGTGTGACCAGTAACCTTGACCTTCAAATGGGTTAAGAAACACCCAGCAGATTAGAAAAACTCATTTTCTTCTCAGATGAAGAAATACAAATGGCAAATAAATACATGAAAAAATGTTCAGCATCATTGGTCATTTGAGAAATGCAAATTAAAACACTGAGATTCCATCTCACCCCAGAAAGAATGGCTATCATCAAGAAATCAACCAATAACAAATGCTGGCGAGGCTGTGGGGAGAAAGGAACACTTCTTCATTGTTGGTGGGAGCGTAGACTGGTGCAACCACTGTGGAAACCAGTGTGGAGATTCCTCACAAAACTAGGATTAGAGGTCCCACTTAACCCATGACATGGAGAAAAGGCCGAACACAGGCCAAAAGACACACTGAGCCACCAGAGGAGAAAAAGTGGTCAGCTATTCCCCTTCTGGGTATTTTTCCAGAAAAACTGAAAACATCACACCAGAGTGATATATGTGCACC